AAATTAAATAAATAAAAAATATATTTAAAATCTTTAAAAATTAAACTTTTAAATAAAAAAATTTAAAAAAAAATTATGTAATAGTTTTTGAGAAAAAAAATTAAAAAATTTTTTAAATTTCTTATTTAATGGATATAATATGTAAAAAAATATATATATATATATTTTTTTTATTTAATAAATATTTTATCTTACCTTTAACCAAGATGCAAAGAGAAACAAGGGAGCCAACACCAAATCATAAAAAACATTTCAATGCATATGGCTTGAGCTATACATACGGTAGAAATTAATAGATTCTTGATACAATTTAATGTAATTATTTGATGCAATTATTTGAGTCACTATTAAAACATATAAAATAATTAAGTCAGATATAATTATTTTTGAGAATTTTGGTAATTGAGTCAATAGTAAAATAATTTATACCATATGTATAGCTTGGGCTATGGTTAATGATAGCAGAAAGGCATTCAGCATTCCACTTTTCATATGGACTATGCCAAATATGACATTTACTTCCTTGCTGGAATTAAGTAAACATAGACTTGTCACTCTAAATTACTTTTTTAAAGTCCCGAATGGTTCAGTCTTTATATGCAAGGTATCAGGTAAATCGGTCTTTAATATTTTTTTCTGAAAGGAAGAGCTTGGAATATGTGATACAGCTTCTTAACTGTTCTTCATACAGGATTTAACAGATGGTTTTTTCGAATACTTTGATTCCCATTTTGATTATAAAAAAATTGATTAATTTTGTAGCAGTAATATATCTATAAAGATGAGTCTCTAAATTATTTGTAAAAACATAATTCAAATGTCCCTTATTATTAAAAATTTTTATTTCTATATTAAGAAATAAAAAAAACTATTTACAAAGATTCTTTATAGTTTTAAACATTTATACAAACCATTTCTGGAATTATGTTCCTATTGAAATAAAGAGCTAAAAATTATATTTTATAGAAGATATGAATATAAAGGAATGTAAATTTTATATACTAAATATTTTAGGAATCCATTTTTACATGTTTGTTACTCTTTTTGTCAGTAACAAGTTTTTTTAGAATGGTATGAGCATGCTTATTAAGGAGTTATGATCATCCCGATCATTGTGTTTATGATTTCATAGATCTAGTTTCAATAAAATATTTTATAACATTACCTATCACACTTTTTTTGCATCTAACATTGGTTACAATATTACGATAGGTATTTTTTTTTTGTAACCATAAATTATGGTTGCTTTTTGTTCAGAAGTTAATTTTTTATTAGTAGGCATTAGCAGTTATATGAAAATTGAAGTAAAGTTTTTAAGTAAATAAAAAAAAAATTTTTTTTATATAATAATATATTTTTATAAATTGAATATATTGTATTTATATTTTAAGTATATTTTTATTAAAAAAATTTAATTAGTTTTTAAATTAAATTTTATTTTTTAAAAAAAAAAAGTTATCTATAAACTTTTGTTCACCTTCTATAATTAATAATTTCAGTTTAATTATAAGTTTGAATAGATAAATAAATAAATATTAATATTAAATTCTTTTCAAATTTATAATTAATAAATCAAAATTATATATAAAAGATTATTTATTATTTATTAATTTATATTAATTTATTTATTAAAATTTATATTAATTTATAATAATAATTATATTTTATTATATTTTATTTATTGCAAATAAGCATTAGAAACAATTATATTATATATATTTTTTTTTATTGCGAACAAGCATAAAATGTATAATTTTATTGAATCATAAAAATTCTAACTGATATATTAAACATCTATTTAAGTTAATATTAACCTATTGTATATTAACTACAAGTTCCTAAAAAACATTATATAAGTGAAAAAAAATTTATAATAATTTATAAATAACTTATGCTTATCTATAAATAGCTATGTTGGTATAGATGTTAGTAATAATTTTAATGGCTTGGATTTTGATTGTGCTGTCTGAACCTGTAAAACTATAATGGCAGCTTTTGGAGATAATATATTATTAATTGGATTTTGGATTTGTTGCTTGAACCTATAAAACCATAAGACAATTGTTTAGAACTGAATAAGATATATAAAAAGTCCAGTATTTTTACACAACTGTAACATTGGAGTTGTTGTTATACTGATAAGAAAAGCCATTGGAATGTTGTGATGTAAGATTGTTGTTGTTGTTATTACAAACATATTTGAGCCAGTTTGATTATTATTGTATTGAATTGCTAGTATTTGATTGGTTTTTGAATATATATTGATCATTTGAAGAGGTAAAATTGATTTTGATTTTTAAGAATAATTGAGTTTTTGTGAAAAATGGATTGGCATAACATTGTATATCAAGTAAGAGATAATTAAAAAGGTTTGATTAAAACAAGTATTAAACTCAGTAATTTTGTTTAAATGTGATTTTAAGATTAAATTTACAATAGTGAGGAATGATGGAAAGATGGTAATAATAACATATAGATAATAAGAGGTATATAAAGACAAGATTATAAAGGAAAATTGTTACAGATCTTTTTCTATGCAAACAAAGAGCAAACAAGACTTCCAAACTTGTTTGATCTTTGCTTAGAGGTTTTATTCCAATACAACAGTAGTCCTAACAATTATATTTTATTATGATTTATTTAATTCAATTATATTTACAAATTTTAACTAATTAAATTTTAAATATTAAAATTGTTTACAAACCAATAAATTTCAATTTTATTAAACAAAATTATATATTATAAATTGAAAATCTTATTATTATTATTTTTTATATAATAAATATAATATAAAATAAGTTAATAAAAAATTCTTAATTAAATAATAAATTAATAATAATTAGAGATTTGATAACTAGTTAAAAAAAATAAAATTAATTATATTTATATTATTTTTTAAAAATAATATACTGTAAGAGTTTAAAAAATTTAAAACAATTAACAATTGGTTTTTATAATTATTGTTTTTCAATTTTTTTTAAAGCAAAGATCATTGGTTAAAAGTAAATCAAAAAGGATACACACGCATAAAATTAAATTGTACTGCAAGGGGTCTGAAAATGAAACACAAAAACAATTGTGCTTCACAGGTGGTGAAGTAATTGTGTTACACCAAAAACAACACTTGAAAAAAAAAAACAACGGTGTCACACAAAAACAATGACAGAGTACATTTGACGCAAATGGTAATGCGAAATTTCCTCGAATAATGCGATTAGGCAATGAGAGCAATTGAGTAATTCTCAATTCAATGACACACTCATTAGCAGTGGTTAAAGGATGCTCACCGAACTTTCATTGTCACATGCCTCTCCTCTCGGATCAAATCCTACGGGCGGTGGAATAGCAGATAATCGACATCCGACCCTGCAAGGTGAATTTTGGGAGTTTTTCCTGGTCACGTTTATACGCAGCTCGACCTTTTTGGGTGGGTCCGTTTGTGAACGTTTGGGAAGACTCAAGACGCATTCGTACATAGGTTGTCGAACATCCACCTATTCTGAGGAACGTTGAGAACGTTTTTGTGAATAATGGGACGGAAAAACTGCCTAAACCGAGAGACACGAGTTACGGCCGCTCCAGTAACACAAATAATATGTATGTGCTTTGCGAGGGCTGATGAATTCTAATTTTGTCATTCGATTTTTTTTTTTTTCGGCCTACACAAACAAAGTGTTAAATAGTACTTTGGATTGTTATCTGCAATCTATTATTATATCTGATATTACGAAATAAAGTGAGTCAAGTTTTTTTTTTAACCTTTACTTTAAAAAGTCAAATAATTTATTATATCAATGTAATAAAAACAATATTGTGATAAAGCGAAGCTGTAAAGACGACGTAAACGAAAAAATAAACGTCAAAGCCAACCATAAACGCTTTCCTTTTTTCCTATTCTCAACAAGTTTCCCTCTTTGGTTTTACCTTTCTATTATATACTCAAGGTTAAACAATACACTAATATACATACTCTATTTCCTTACACATATAGTACTAAATAATACTCTAAATATTTTTATTCGTTCGTTTTTTCAAGTTCACTTTTTTTCTTAAGTGAATAATAAAGTCGTTACTTTTAATTTAATAGAATAGCAAGAAAAAAGTTTGACCATGTCTTTCAAGGCAAGAAGTGGCTTTGAGTTTACGTTGTTAAACTACAATAACCTGTCGACTAAAGTTTATAGTCCTCCTTTCGCTACCTCGTTCGATACTTTTTGGCAACTCAAGTTCAAGCCGGTATGTGCATGTTATGATTTTATTTTATTTTTTTTTTTCAAGTGCGAAAGGAAAGGAAAGAAAATAGATACTTCTTCTGAAGAGTTGGGAAAAAATTTTGTTATTGCAAATAACGAATTTTTTTCTCGGGTACCCCAGTGCATCGAAACCGATGTTTTTTTACTTTCTTCGAAAATCCACTATTCTCTTGGATTCTGGATCGAAACACTAATGAATGCGTTTTTTTCTTTATTACTAATTCATGAATTTTCAATACCCGTCACCTTTTCCTAACTTAAAGACGTCGAAAGAAAATCCGGAATATTGTTCTGTGTACTTGGTGGCCATACCCAGTTATGAAGAAGGTAGTACTACGTCTACGTGGACGAATCGTTCCACTTATTCTGTCGACATTTACATCAAACATCCAGAAACCTTGGCGGAAATGAAGAAGGCTAATTTGGATACGACAAAATTTTCCGCTATCAAGCCATTGAGAGGTAAGCATTTGATCTTAATCAAGATTTTTTTTTTTTTTTTTTTAAAATTAAAAAAATTTTTTAAAAAAAAATAAATGAGTTTATCAACGACAGAACAATATCTGATAAAAGGGATTTTTTTTTTTCCAAATCATTGGATAGGTTGGAATAAGTTTTGCAAAAAACACTTGCTCCCATCTGACCAAATAATACTTGGCATAGAATTTGACAAAACGGAATTTGGAACGCCCGATGAAAAGCCAAGGTTTCCTGGTAATGGCAAACCATTTCCGGATGATTTGGTAATCGCTTGGGCCGACCAGTTGAATAAACCCGAACACGCGGATGTCGAATTTCGAGTTCAAGGTCAATCCATCTATGCAAATACCGCGATACTTACCCGAAGATCCGAATATTTTCAGAGAATGTTCGAGGGGAGATGGATGGAATCGATTACTTGTAATCAAGGTGACGAAGACCAACAACAATTATTGCAACATCGGCAAGTTCCGACCTCCGAGGATGATGAGGATACTGACGTAGATAATTCGAGTGACTCCAATCCATCTCATAAACGAAAAAGGGTCTCAGACAATGGGAGTGATTCATCTCACAAACGAAGGAGAGTCTCGGATAGCGAAAGTGAAGAAGAAGAAGATGATGATCCCGTTCAATCTTCTTCTTCATCCATAAGGAAATCCGGGCGGATTATCATTGATGTCATCGATTTTCATCCAGATACCTTTCTCGAAATGTTGCGTTTCTTATACACCAATCGAGTGGCTTTTGGTCCAAGGGAATCACCAACCTCGGCCGTGAACATGTTCAAGATTGCGGATAAGTACCTGATCGAGAATTTGCAACAAAATGCAAAAGTTAAACTTTGTCGAGGGGTGAACATAAACAATGCCGCCGAATTCTTGTTCACCACAGCTTGGCAATATGACGAGCTACGGGATCACGTGATGAATTACGTAGTGCAAAATTTCAAGAACGTGTGCAAAACTTCCGGATTCAAAAATATCACTTCTAACTCGATCAACTATCCGCAATTTCATGAGTTACTCACGGAGATTCTGCACAAGGTCTTCGCCGATGGTGACTCGGATTACAGCGATTGTTAAAGAAGTCATATGTACGCATGGAATAAGCAACCATTATTGAAGGATTACATGATTTGTGGAGAAAATCGAACTTGCTTTTACTTATTTCGCAATATATATGTATATATGACAATGAGATTTTCGATTGGCTGATGTAAAAAAAGGACTTCTTGCAATTTCTACGTTCAACCCATTTTGGGTTCTGCTTTGAGTTTGATATTGCCGGAGGTCAAAAAGTAGAATATTGTATTTTCATTTCATTTATCACGTTCTGATGTCTGTATATTTGTTTTTATTGTTTTTTTTTCTTACATTTCCATTTGAACATCATCGTCGCCGTCAGCACTCAAATCATCCCAACCATCGGTGCCATCGTCTTCGTCTTCATCTCCTGATGTACGCGAAGGCTTTACAAAGGCGTTGATGGTTTGCAAGAGTTCTTGCGCGTGTTCTAAGATACCTTCGTTATCCGAAGAAACTTGATGGTATAACTAGTTTGGAAATTTTTTTTTCATAAAAAAAAAAAAAAAGGAATAACGGTAATTTTTTTTTTGGAGGGAATAGGAAATATAAAAAGAGTATTGGAGACAAGGTAATCGTTCATTTGAGGAAAAGGTCGCGTTTGGAAAGAGAAAAGTCTTAGTTATTTATGAAAGTAAAAAAATATGCGGAAAAACAGATAACAAAGATTAACTTTTTTAGGATCAATCTTCATTATTTTATTTCTTTGCACCTTACCTTTTCACAAGTAACCAAACAATCGCGTGCGTCTTCCCAATGAGCCATTTGATCTTCCTCGTTTTGTGATGAGTCTTGGCCCATACAATAATAACACCAACCATAAAGATACCATAGATCAACTACTTGATCATCTTCTTTTTGTAGGAGTTCAAGGACGGAAAGAGCTTGAGTGTATTGGGCGATTTCCAGAAGTAACTTGACTAGGGATATGCGAGTTTCGTAAGAGGGTATCGATGGATCATCTAATTAACATTTGCAAGTTGTTATGCGTGCATGAAAATGATTAGTAAAATATTTATTTTCAAAAAAATAAAAAAAATTTTTTTCGAGTCGCGTTCATTTGCTTCCGTTACCTGGCTCTAGGTGAATCCATAGATCCAGACTTTTTTCCAATGCGACTTTTGCCTCTTCATTCTTTTGCTGGGAGAGTCGGACGGATGCTAATAACTGGTGAACTTCAGGGTTGCTCGGATCAATTTCTAATGCTTGTTTTAGATATTCCTCGCACTTTGATTCCGCGTCCGGTTCAAAGCTTGACGTGGAAACATAAATTTCTCGGTTATTTATGCATTAGGAAAGGTTGGTATTCGGTTATGAATCTTACCAACAATCAGTTAGGTAGATTTCAATCATTGAACACAGAGCTGTGGAAATTTTGCGGTTTAAGGACTCTTGCTGTGAAGTAGATGATGAAGCTGCAGCAGTCGTGTTATTTTCATGATTTTCACCGCCGTTGCGATTAGGATTCGATTTATACTCGGTGATCATTAAGTTCACACCATTTTGAAAATAATTAATTGCTTCTAAACCGGCGGACAATTGTCCCATGTACATGTATTTCGAGTAACCTTGATTTGGATTTATTGAAATTGCTTTAGCGAAATGCTTTATTTAACATTTTGAGGGTTCGGAAAGAGTGTGCAACGAAAAATTGTGCACATTGTGGAGTCGTAAAAATAAGATAGATTATTTAGTAAAATGATTATCAAGAATTTTCATTCGTCACGATGGTTCACCGTCATTCAGCATAGGTTTTCACCCTAAAGATCTTAATTCGCCTCACAAGATGCACAATTCAATCGTTACATGATGACTAACCTCTTTAGCTTCGTCGAGCATTTCCATTTCAATTTCCACCGTTCCCAGAATCTCCAAAACACCGACATTTTTATCATCCATGCTCAATGCTCGTCTGGCGAATTGCAAAGCTAATTCGTAATCACACGTATCCACCAACGATGAGATTTTGGCTAATAAGTCGGATACCGTGTAAGATGCAACAGGATTTGATGAATTATCGGCAATTCCATTATTAATGGTGTTTGTGGATGCCATTTTAAAAAATTTGTGGTAATGATAGATGATGGGGAGAGTATTCATTCTTTTATAAAAAATTCAGATCGATTATTTGAAGTCATGTGAGTATGCGTAATTTTTCATCTGATTAACAATAACGTGACCAGGATTTTTATACTCTGCGTAGTCATACGCACGGGGACTGTAAAGAGCGACCATCACTTGTCGTATGGGTCGTGACCTTTTATGTCTAGCATCAGGTGTGCGTGAAATGACCTAGTTATTTTGTTTTATGTACACAACAGCTTACTGTTTAATTTCAGAAAAAAAAAAATTATTTAAAATGACATGGATTCTTGAGTGGACCGTGTGATAAATTTTTAATATAAATCAATAAATTACAATAAACCAAAGGGAAACATGATGATAAATAAAAAAACGGAGTTACGTATTCTTTAGTAGATCTCTAAGGGATTTAAATGGCTAAAACGGGAACGCATACTGTATACTGCATAATATAAGGTACGTGCTATTATCTAATTAAAGATCATCATTCAATATTAATAATCGGCGAGTAATCTACTGTATTTGCAAGTCACGAGAGTCAAGGCTCATGATTGTTAGAGTATACAATACAAATATGTTATAAATTTTTTGCACGAAAAGAAAATCTCTATTTTTTTTACCATAAGGTGATTGATTATAATGTTATTTAAATAAATAAATAAATAAATAAAAATAATAAATAAAAAAAACAACAACACTATTATCATTATTTATATTTACTCATTTACAGTCTAGTTCAAAAAAAAATCAAAATAAATTTATTTTTCTAATTTTACTGATAATCTAATAACTAATAAATAAAATTATAAAAATATATACAATATATATATATATACTGTATTTGAAAATATAAAGAACAAGTTTATTTAATAAACTTTTTTTTAAACATGTTAATAAAATATTATTAAATTTTAATTTAAAAAAAAATCATAACTTATTACAAAAAAATAAATAATCAAAAAAATTTTATTAAAATTATTGTAATACAATATATGAATTTATTAAATTAGAATATACAGTATTTTATGATAAATTGATTTTTTTTTTTGATTTTATTTAACAATTTAAATAAAATTTTTATATAAATTTATTATAATAAAAATTTGTTATTCAAATAAAATTTATATATAAATCTATATTTTAAAATTTGTAATCAATTAAAAAAAATTTTTTTTTTTGTAACTTTAAATTAATATTTTGTGTTTATTATAAATAATATACTATACAGTATATTAAAACCTTTATTTAATTTATCAAATTATAAAAAAAAATCAAATACTGTTTTTTTTAGACCAAATTATATTGTATTTATCTATTTTTTGTTAAAAGAGTTTTTAATAATTAAAAAATTTTTAAAAAAAATAAAATATCATGTTTATAAGTTTTTGTATAAATTGTTATTACCATAATAAATAAATTTTGTATTTTTAAATATATAAAAATAGATTTATTGTTTATTTTATAAATTATTATTTAAAAAAATCAATATAAATATATTGTATAATATATTACAACTTTTTTATAATCTAATTTTTCTTTTAATAGAAAATAAAATAAATAAATAAATAAATAAATACAATATATTTTTAAAATATAAAAGATAAAAATGTTTACAATTTTTGCAATAAGAAATATTTTATCAAGATATTATTTTTAAAATTCAATTTGTTTTTTGAAAATATTAAAAATTAGAAATAAATAAACTCTGATTAACTTTTCTTTTTGGTCAACTTCAAATTATACAGTTTAAAAAGTTTAAAATAATATCATTTAACTAATTAATTGTTTTTTTTTGTTTTTTTTTTATTCGCAAATGGGCATTAATTAAATACGGGGCTTTTATTTAACTAATTAATTGTTTTTTAGTACATTATAAAAAAGTATTCAATATAATAATAAATAATAATTTAAATATTCTTATTATTGTTATTACATTGAATTTTTACATCAACCCATTCATCATTGATCTCTAGATTATTAGTAATTAATATTATTATGTTTGATTAACAATGAATGTTTTCAAATAGTAGAACAAGAAGTTTGACCAAGAGTTTTTTTCATTGGCTAAAATTTTTTTTGTCCAAAATAAATAAAAGATTAACCCAATCAAATCTTTCGTGCCGTTGGAATTATCACGCTTCTGTGATATAAAACTTGAAGTTCATTTGTCTATTTCACTCCTTCCATAAAAAAAAAAAAAGTACTTTCAAATTACTACCTCGAAGCTTTAAATCTAGAAAAAATTTAATATATCCTTTCAAAATGTCCAGTCCTATCACTATTCCCCACACCTTTATTACATCGTCGGTCGAAATGGCCAGACCTCACTATAATTTCAGACAGACTCGTCCAAGAAATACTTCAACACTTGACGTCGTCATAATAGACAGTGAC